GGATGCTCAGGGGCCTGGAACATCTGCCCTATGAGGAGAGGCTGGGGGAGCTGGGCCTGTTCAGCCTGGAGGAGAGAAGGCTGAGAGGGGATCTAATCAGTGTCTATAAGTACCTCAAGGGAGGGAGTGCAGAGGACGGTGATGGTCTCTTTTCAGTGGTGGCCACTGATAGGACTAGAGGGAATGGCCGGAAACTGAAACATCAAAAATTCAATAGGATCTTAAGGAAAAATTTCTTAACAGTGAGGGTGACAGAGCACTGGAACAGGCTGCCCAGAGAGGTTGTGGAGTCTCCTTCTCTGGAGATCTTCAAAACCCGCTTGGATGCAGTCCTGTGCCACATGCTCTAGGTGAGCTTGCGTGTGCAGGGGGGTTTGACTAGATGATCTCTAGAGGTCCCTTCCAACCTTAAGCATTCTGTGATTCTATGTATCATCTGACATCCTCAATATAGCAATTCTGATGGTGGAACATGGGGAAAACAGCACTTAGAAAGCACCTAAGCCTGTATGTTCTCCCCAGGAGGAATATCCTACAGCCATACTCTGATACAGAATACTGGACAAGATGGACTGTTAGTTTGATCTAGTGAGCATTATTAAACAAATTCAGAATTTTTCTCTATGGCTTGAGAGATTATTAATCTAACTCTTGTATTTCAACATCTTATTTACAAGAACAGAATACATACCCAGTAATCTATCATTTTGGATAATGTAATCATTTTTTTCATTTCTACAAATTTTAAATGCAAGCTTGCAGACGCTGAGAAGGTTTTTTCCATTCACTTTCATCTGCAAAAAGCATAAAAGACAAGAATCAGAACTAAAATCAATATATAAAAATACACTGTAATGTTTAAAAGTTAAGACATCATGGCAAATTTTGATTTTCACATAAGATCTCTCAAAGATTCCAGCTGAACCTCTGACAATATAGGTAAACCAAACTGAAAAGCTTGCAGAATTAAAGGACTCAAATATCTAACTGGTTTAAGCTCTATCAAGCAAACTGTGCCAGGTGACTTTAAAATAGCAGGTGATACATGATGTACACATTTTTACATATTTTACACAGGTAGCATACCAGGTAGCATTTTTTTTTCCCTTTAATGCACTCTTACAAAAGATATTCTGCATTGGATTCACTGGTTAGGCATCTATGGCCAAAGACACTCAGATAAAGGTAAAGGTGTTTAATCAGCTAAAGATACTCAAAAATTAAGATTCATCTCCACACTCAGGCTATATTTTATATATTATTACATATTTTATTATTTATTCTGTGTTTATTTAAGTTCCTGTATGTGGATCCCAGTTTTAGTGCAAGGTCTCTTTACAATGCCTAAGCAACACACATCAACCACATCCTGTTTTCTGTCACTCCATCCTCCCCAAGATGTAATTTCCATGCAAAAAATGTCCATCTGGATGAATGGGAGACAAGCGTCCATACAGCAAGACCCTATTATTAATGAACATTTAGTTTAGATGAAGTTTAAAAGTATCAAGTGAAAACTTAAATGCAAGCAGTGATTTACAATGTTAACCTTTACATTCTACCATACTACAAAATAACATTTTAAAAGACTTACAGACAGAATAATCTTTGCCAGCTTTAGACAAAGTGGGTCTGAATCAATGTCTACAAGTTTATATAATGTCTTCAGGAGCACACTTTTTCTTTTAAATCTCTTCCCAAACATATTTCCTTCATGCAAGGCTTGATGGAGTTTGGTGCAAGCCAGACAAAGATTTTCTATATTCTCTTCTACTTGACATGGGTAGAAAGACAGAAGAATGTAGAAATTAATGATCAGTACCGTCCTCTCCAGAGTTACTCAATAGATATAGACACAGGAGAACAAAATAAAGAATTGTTTGCACAACAAAAAAAATCAGGCACCTAATCATTCTCTTAAAATGTTTACTCTTCAGAAACAGTTTTATGTTGGTCTTCCTGAAAGAAGAAAGACTTAAGCTAAAGCAATCCCAGAGTAACAGAAACAGCTAAAATGAAACA